GGAAGATTGCCACTTGTTCTCAGGCAAAGCCCAGTGACAAGAAATGGGTGGCATACCAGACTCTGAAGGTCAAGACTCATGACCAGTTGAAGAAAAACATTTTACTTATATTAATTCAAAATGGAGCATAAAAGCTTGATAACACTTCATCTGAATAAGTTCCCTTTTCTTGATTCCTGTGACTTAAACCACACCAGGTTTTTTTTGTGTGTGTCTTTGTTTTTAAAGCCTAGCATCATTGTAATCATAGAACAAAAAGTTTTTCCTCTTTGCCATTTAATTGTAACTTAGCTGGAAAGAAAACTGAAACATTAATATTCAAGGCAGCAAACTCAGCTTTCAGTTAGGAGCTTCTTGCTGTGGCCTTTTGTTGTGGTAGTTACTTTAGGCCCAATTCTTCTCTGTCACACTGATGTGAATTTGGGGCACCTCCACTGAAGTTAATGGAGTTACCTCAGTGTTAAACAGGTGCAAGATCAGAATTGGACCCTGATTCTTGAAAAATGAGTATTTGCTCTTAATACATTTTTTTTCCCATTTCCATATTTCATTCACAATGGGGTCTTTATGCCAGACTGACAAAAAGCGCCAATGAAAGGATTTAAGGGAAACATCTCCGGAAGTGTGGCTTCCTAAGAAGTCCTATGTACCTCAGCTCTCTGAAGTGGCAGATCAAGAAATGTCCAATAAAAATGATAAATAAGATATTACAAGGCTCAGCTCTTAAGCCAGCACTCAGAAAAACTCAGCACTCAAAGATAAATCAATGATTTCTGTCACTTCTATCTTTGGATGTAATAATGCATTATGTTTAAGAATCCCAGTCAGAGATTTAGAGCTTTCCCCATGAGAAAGGGTGCTAACATGTACACCTGTCCAGAGTTACTCTATTCAGGTTAATGAATTATTTTGGATTTACACCAACATAACAGCAGAGTTTAACACTGTCACTTCTGCTACATTCCCCACTTGCTTGATCTCATTATCCTGATGATAAAGAGTAGTGTGAATTATTCTGAATTAGCTGCAACTCTAGTTTATTTTAACTTCTCTGGGTAGCCAGTTTAAATGTGTAAGATTATGTTTGAGTGATTTGTGCATGGTGACATGTTTTATATTTATGGAAGGATGGTAACATCCTTTAAAGAGAATCTTGACAGTTGCACAGAAGTGCTCCCCCAAGTATTATGTGAAGAAAGATGGATTAACTGCTCTTCTAATCACTTATTTCATTTCAAACTTGTATAAGGGGGTATTTGGGCTCTTCAGTATAAGAGTTCTGTGGGGAAAAAGGGAAACATTGTGGCCCCATTTTATCAATGGCAGTGGAGCTGCACCTGCCTCCACTACGGGTGAATTTGACCCTATGATTCTCCTGCAGTTAGCTGAACTCCGTATCTCCATAAACACATCTGCACTACAATTACAGCCTCGAAAGGGGAACCTCAGTACAATATTGTTCCAGTGTGTAGTGCACCCCAGAGCTTAACTATACACCTGAATCAGGTTAGATTTGGTTGTCTAAACTTCTAACAGGAACACTACCAATACACAGTTAAATCAGATATACACTGCAAAATGGATCCCTGATGTAAGTGGGTCAACAGTACTGTAGCTGAGTCCTCAGCCATGGTTGTTAACATTATAGAGCCCAGTTCAAAGCCTACTGAAGTCAACAGGAGTCCTGCCATTCACTTCAATGGGCTTTGACTCACCCACAGAATGTATTGGGAAGCAGGGGGGCTGGCTGGCTAGGAGCTGGACTGTTTTTTAGGAGACATGGGTTTTGTCCTCAGCTGTTCTACTGACTTGCTGTTTGACCTTTGGCAAGTCTTTTCATCGCTCTGTCTTGGTTTCCCCAATTATGAAATGGCTTTTGATTTACTCCTCTTTGTAAAGTGCTTTGAGATCTACAAAGGATAACTGCCCAATATTATTAGATCATAGAAATGTAGGACTGGAAGGGACCTCAATAGGGCATCTTGTCCAATCTTCTGCACTGAGGCAGGACTAAGTATTATCTAGAGGGGACACTTTATTTTGAATACAAACACATCTTGTGTGTATTACCAATATATTTTTATCTGGAAATATCTTGCATGCTTTAACATAGTTCAGATTACATTTAGACTGGACTGAGGGTAATTTGACGCTAGGAAAAATACTGAGTCCTAGCATCTGGTGCAGAGGCTAGAAAATTTATTTTAATCAAGCCATTGTATAAGCACATGTGCTTTTCCAACACAATACTGATCCTGTGCCCATGAAGCCAATGGGAATTTTGCCATGCTTCAAGGGGAGCATTGATCCTTCATACAAAAAGACCCTAGGAAAAAGCACCTCTGGCTACTGTATGTAGAGTGCTTCTGTTTTGTTTGTTTGTTTGCTACAAGATCACAAAGCATAATTAGATGGCTCCCAAATATATATTGTGGATGTGCCTATAGCCAAAACGTTTACAGAGCTAAGGATGGGTCAAATATATTCTGCAGTGTGCCTGTCCTTAGTTCCGCTTTTCAGACCGATCCCCCGTCCTGACCGTGTGTACAGTTAGATGACCCATAGCAGTAGTGGTATAACAGAGAACCTAAGATGCCACACCCCCTGGCTTAAAGTGGTTTCCATTATATGCAGGGTTTACAGTTTGGTTAATGGCTCTCAGCTCCCCCACTATAAAAATTGTTCCAGCATCCCTGGACGTGGTGTTGTGCAGGACTGTTTGTTGTTAAATACTGAGCTCTTCTATTATGCCTTCTTCACTGGGCTAGATTATGGCACTAGCCACAGCGCGCAGAATGTGGCAGTGAGGCACAATACAGTCTTCAGCTACTCAGCACACAGGGGAATGTGTAAGATGCACTGTCCTTTCAGATGGTGCCTCTTGCTCCCCAAAGCACACCCAGACATGACCATCTCTACTGTCCAGGATGAAGCAGATGCAAGGTGTACTCGTAGGAACAATTTGTGCTCATTGGCTGCACTGAGGGAGCTGTCTCTCTGGTTTCCCCAGGGCAGGGACTGCATTTGTCCCTGGCTCACCAGCAGGCTATGCAAAGCAAGGTGGGAATAATGCTCCTTATGTTCTCCCCCACCACTAGTGCCCCCCAGCCTGTAAGCACTTGCACTAAATTCAGGGACAGGCTAGTTCATAGTGTCTTCTGTCAGACACTCTCAGTCTGTCGCACGTTCATTGAAGTTTTACAATATTCAGGTATCATGGTGGACAAGAAACTTAATATGAACTCCCAATACAATGCTGTGGCAGACAGTACTACTGTGATCCTTGGATGTATAAACAAGTGAGTAGGAATAGGGAGTGATTTTCTCCCTATGGGTACAGCATTGGCGAGACTGATACTGAAATGCTTCATCCACTTCTGATGTCCACATTTTAGAAAGGATGTTGAAAAATTGACGAGGGTGTAGAAAAGAGCCACACAAATTATTTGAAGGCTGGAGAAAATGCATTTTAGCGACAGAATTAAAGAGTTCTTTCCAACTGCTTAGCTTATAAAACAAAACAAAAAACAAAACTGAGCAGTGACTTGATTACAATGTAAAAGGACCTTCACAGACAGAAAATAGCAGGTATTAAAGGGGTCTCTTATCCAGCGGAGAAAGAGAACAAGAACCTGTGTCTGGAAGCTGAAGCCAGACATAGACACAAATTCCTAATTGTGAGGGTGAGTAACCACTGGAACAAAACTGCCAAAGGAAGAGGTAGAGTCTCCATTTCTTGGTGTCTTCACATCAAGATTGGAGGCTTTTCTGGAAGATATGCTATAGTCAAACACAAGTTATTGGACTTAGGACAGGGGCAGCTAAGTAAAATGTAATTGCTCTTGATATACAGGTCAGACTAGGTGATCTAATGTTCCCTTCTGGCCTTAAACTCTCTGAGGATGGCTACACAGCAAAAATCAAACAAACCACGGCTGGGAGTCTCAGAGCCTGAGTCAACTAAATATTTTTAGGCCCATACTGTGAGACTGAGTTAGGTGACCTACACTCTGGGAGATTTGCTGCTGTGGGTTTTTGTGTGTGTGTTTGCGTGTTTTTTTGCAGTGTAGCTATACCCTCTGAATCGATAAATCCCAATGGGGTAGGTAAATATTATCCTCATGTCACAGATTGGAAAACTAAGGCACAGAGGGTTAGATTCAGATCAGACATAACCAGGCGCAACTCCAGTAGAATCGCACTTACTTATGTCAATGTTCTGAATTGGGCCCTGAGAGGTTACAGGCCTAACCCAACTTCTACTGCAGTCAAAAGGTGTCTTTCCATTGTCTTCAATGGTGCCAGATTGGGCCCTAAGTGGACTTGCCCTGATCCTTCAATGTATGCTATGCAAGCAAACCGGACTTGCATGGCACCCCACTGAAGTCAAGAGGGACTAATTGTAACTTGTTGCCGGGTTGCGTCAGTGCTAGGATTAGAATCCAGTTTACATTCTGTCACCACAAATCCGCACTCCCTCCCTGTGTTATTTTTTCAAATGGCTTTACGGTTGCATGTAAAATACATTGGCACAAGACAGTAGTCTTATTATGTAAGCACAGGGCCAAATTCTATCCCCTTTGAAGTCAGTGGGAACAGAAAGGGACCCTATTGTCACTATATTCTAAATTTCTGATTATGGTCTTAAGATATCAGAATATTTAAAAACTAGCTAAACATATCAAACAAGAAAATAATAACAAACACAACCATGGTATTAGGTATCCTTTGATCCTTCTCTTTCCCTTATCAAAGAAATATTTAAAACTTTTCAAAACTTTATTTTATGCGCTAGAAAATAAAGACCTGTATGTTTAGGATTTTTTAAGAGTTTTATTTGTGTAACTCAATTTAATGTATTTGTGTATAGCAACTTGAATACATAAGTATTTCCAGTAACACTCTGTAGAATTGGATATAGCAACTTACAACAGCTAGCCAGACCAAATGCTGCATGAAAATGAACTGAAGTGAAAGAATATAAAACTCATAAAGAATGCTAACAGGATTGCTTTTAATTGTAGTGTTGTAGACTAACAGTGGAGGGTGGGAGATGGTAGAATAAAAACAAGCCTTTTTTCTTTGGTGGTGTTGGTGAAAAGGACGAAAAATTCGTACCTAAGATCTAGTAGATTACAGAGTAGTTTCGCAAGTGAAATGGTGGAAACCACGTACTTGGGGCAATTACAATGAGACTGGGCAAAACAATGGATAATACAGAACTATATTTCGATATCCTGTGTTGGTCCCTGAGTCATGTACTAAATGACCTTGTTTTTTGTGTTTTAAGATTTTTTGCAACAAACTCCTGATCCCATTTATTTTCCTTTCTCCTATAATACCTTTCTCCTACCGGTAAGGGTATTGATCAGTGATGGGCATACCTCAAAGGCCTCAACTGCTCATTTGAATGTTAAAATTAACTTGAATCATAACCTCCACATTTAGAAAGAGGAATTTTTCAACTTTCTGTGGTCAGTGGGAATTATGTGGCTCTCTTTGAAAATCTTCTGGTCCACTTGCTAGATGACAGGAAGTGTAGTCCAGTCACGTTAACTGGTATATAAGAGAATCTAAAAGAGAAAGCAAAAGAAAAGTCAGTTCATCAGTTTACTGTACCATCATTTAAGTTTGATTATGTGATATTTATATAAGAATGTAAATTTTAAAGGCCAGATTATCAGCTGGTGTAAAAGAGAGTAGCCCCATTAATTTCAATGGAGTGATGCCCATTTACATCAGAAGAGGATCTGTTCCAAGTGTTATAGAGATGCTCAACACATTGCACTTGTGCTTAATAGTTTATGAAGCTATCTCTGTAAACAGAAAAATATATAAATAAACTATAATGTACCCTTACTATATACTTTGTAGGTGAGGCATCTGCAGGTATCCATAACCTCCTTACTGCTTCCCCCAAATTAAGCTGATTATTTGAATCATGGCCCATTTCCATTTGCTTATTGCTTCTCACCACTCAAATATGCGAGGGTGACACTTTAATTTGTCTGAAAGAGGAGACAAGATGCTTCTTTTAAAGCCAATGCTAATGCCACTAGTGGATAGCAGACAGGTGATATTCTCAAAATGGCCATCAAACTTTGGCCAAGACTCCAAAGAAACCATGCTAGCATCTTTCTAGAATACAGTTCTGAAACAATCCTTCCTAGAAAGTTGCTCACACTGGTTCCTGAGATGGTACAGCCAACTCCTAACCATGCTATAACACTGGTGTACAAATGATGCTTTCTGCAGTATTGTATGTGCATTTTCTATACAGTAACATGGTTTCTGAAAAAGTTTCACAGCACAGTGAAGTCCTGCCTGTATGAGACAAACAAACCATGATAGTACCTTTCTAGCAAGACCTGCATTTATGCACAGTTTCCTAAAGAGGTACCTCATCCTGCAAGATGCTGAGTGGTCTCACCACCTGTTAAATTCAGTAGGGGCTGAGGATGCTTTGCACAGCAGAGAAAAGGCCTTTGAGATCTAACATGTGATCTTTGTTGTTATGATCTGCTTTGCACTGGCTGCAGGATAATATGGCTTGTGGTTTCTTCCAAATATAGATTTCCTGGCTTACTATATTTAACTATTTAATAAAATGGTACAGAAGCACAATATGGAAGCAAATTAAACAGTTCAATACCTCAGTGACTGGACAGTGGTTTTGGCAAGACTACCTTTGTGCCACAAGGAAACATATGCAACAAAACACATTTTGTAACAAAAAAGTATGTCTACACTGCAGTGTAAACCCAGGATTTGAGCTCAGGCTCAATCCTAACCCCCCTTCCATCTACATGCAAAATATCCTAATTCAGGGCTTGGCTCCCAGCACCCCACAGGGGTGGAAGATCTGCGCCTGAGTCAAGGTGGGACCCAAGGTTCAAGCCCTATTGCTTTGAAGTGTAGACACAGCCCCACTGGACGCATTCTCGTGGGAGTGCAGCAAAAGTATCCCACAATCTTATGGGTCAACTTTTTGTCCTTTGGACAGTCAAGATTTCCCACATTGCTTCATGAACAAAGGGCTAAAGCAGTCACAGTTTGGGAGGGCACTAGGAAGTCTGGGATATGGGTGGTTGGACTCAGGCCCACATAATGCAATGTAGACCTAGAGCCCCGGGTTGGGACCTAGAGTTCAACAATTCATAACCTAGAGTTACAAATGAGTGTAGATGCTCAAGGCCTAGATTAACAAGCTCAGAGGCTGCTAACTTGAGTTCTACTAACCCAGGGTTTACACTACAGCGTAGAGATATACCCAAAAGGACCCAATGCTACTTCCACTGACATCAGTGGAAGCAGGATTAGGCCTTTATTGCCTCATGCTCTTGATGTACAGCCTGTCAAAGGATGCTGGCAAAGCGAAGAGTACAAAAACTATAAGCAGCTATAAAATTATGGCTTTTATCTATTGATCCATTGTTTCTAAGACTACTGTACTTAAGAAAATTAAATGACTGAGGGGCTAAGGCCAACATTTTCAAAGTTAATTTTAGGTGTCACACATGAGACATTTTAAGCCTCATTTTGAGGGATGTTGAACACCCACAACTCCTTTTGAAGTCAGTAAGATCTAGACATACTCTAAAAATCAGGCCCTAGGTGCCTCAAGTTGGGCATCCAAATATTAAAGTTAGTAGATATTTTTGGAACTTTGGGCTTGAGTGATTTGCCTAAAGTCACTATAGAAGACCAAAGCAAACAAAAGGGCGACACCTATGGAGTCTTTACCCCAACAAAACTTCCTTTGCCAGAGCTTTCTTCACCAGTCAGCATAGCAACTCCCCACAGTGGTTTACCATACAATCTTATCCCAAATCAAAATGAGACGAGTGCCTGTAAATAAACAAGCCATAAAGAAACAAAAATGAACTGAAAGTATGTGAACATGTTGTCAAGGTTCCCTCCCCACTCTGAACTTTAGGGTACAGACGTGAGGACCCGCATGAAGACCCCCTAAGCTTATTTCTACCAGCTTAGGTTAAAAACTCCCCAAGGCACAAATTCTTTCTTATACCTTGGATTAAGTAACGCTGCCACCACCAAGTGATTTAAACAAACATTTAGGGAGGGCCATTTGGAGCCCTACCTTCCCCAAATATCCCCCAAAGCCCTTACACCCCTTTTCCTGGGCAGGCTTGAGAATAATCCCCTCACCAATTGGTACAAGTGAACACAGACTCAAACCCTTGGATCTTAAAACGATGAAAAATCAATAAGGTTCTTAAAAGAATAATTTTAATTAAAGAAAAGGTAAAATAATTACCTCTGTAAAATCGGGATGGTAAGTACTTTACAGAATAACAAAAGACTCAAGAACATAGAGGATCTCCCCTCTAGGCAAAACCTTAAAGTACAAATCCAGGATAAACCTCCCTCCTCCTACAAAGGAAATCACAAGCCAAAATAAAAGTAAGTTAACGCATTCCTTCGCTAGTACTTACTAATACTAATGGAGTTAGATTGCTTGCTTTCTTGATCTGTCTCCGGCAAGCACACAGAACAGACAAAACAAAGCCTTTTCCCCCTCCCCAGATTTGAAAGTATCTTGTCCCCTTATTGGTCCTTTTGGTCAGGTGCCAGCTAGGTTACCTGAGCTTCTTAACCCTTTACAGGTAAAATAATTTTGTGCCTCTGGCCAGGAGGGATTTTATAGGACTGTATACAGAAAGGTGGTTACCCTTCCCTTTATATTTATGACACATGTAATTAAAGCCTTTATGATAGCTTGGGCATAATAAAGGTTGCACAGGCAACATTATTTCTTGCATTTCCTAACTTTTGAGTGTTGACTTTGCAATTTTAAACACTCTTTTTAACAGTTTTTTTAATTTGTTTTTAATGCAGTAGTCTATAGAATACCAAGGTGGCAATGATAAGGATTTTTCCCCCTGCGATTTGTGCTAGCTAAACCATCCTATCAATGCTCTAAGGGGAAAAATGCCAGAATTCTGCTGGAAATATCCCTGTTTTATCACAATTCTAGCTATTGTGGTTCTGATCCCAAGGCTGGCAGGACCTCTGCTTGGTCCTCAGTTCCTCTTATGCACTTCTAGTGATGTCAGTGAGGTTGCAAGGGAAGAAATTAGAACAGAATCTGGCCCAAATCAAAGAACTCAGCACGCTGAATGAACATGCACGTACACATACACACCCTTTACATCCTTCGGTTAAAAATCCAAAGATTTGGATACGATTATATGTGCATTTAGTTCTTTTCTCTCTTCTTTTAATGGAAAAAATTTCAAGCTGCTAATTACAAAAAAAGTAATTAAAATGGCAATTTTAGTTCTGAAAGGGATCTTGCCATTTTAAGTATTTTATAATACATGCATGCTGCCAAGCAAAAGGTATTCTGTCGACTACTACTGAAAATATTTCAATGGTAGACTTAATCATAGTTTTCAAAAATATAATTAAAAACATTATCTGGAAAGGATTTTTGCACACTTCATAACACATTCCACATGTTTCTATACAAAGTCTTTGTTCTTTGAGATTAAAATAAAAAAATTGGCAAAGAAGATAGCTTGGATCAGTTAATCTTAGTTAAAGCTCAAGCTGTTACTTACATATAAGTTAATCACATTTATACAATGGTTAACTCGGTTAATAAAAATGAGATACATTACTTGTGGAAATACCACAAAAAGTACTATATATAGTTTTATTTATACCAACCAGTTTCCTAAAATAATAGATCTCATAAAAGTTTGTACATTACTATTTTAAATGGAAAATGTTTTCCCAGACAACAATTAATGGATGTCATTATTCTTTCACACTATTGTAAATCATGAGTGACTCTACCAAGACCCATGGAGTTAAAAATCTTGCACCAGCTTGGAGAATGGAAGATAACAGGAAGATGTTATGGACAGAAGAAATAACAGGAGTGTGAAATGTGGTATTTCCTCAAATAAAATAGGTAGTAGGGAGGGAATAGCTATTTAATTGACTAACATCTCAAACAAATTCCATGCCAATGTTTGATTTTGAGATACAACCCCACTGTAGCGGGGTGGTCACCCCACTCCGGTCCAGAGGGGTTAAAAACAGCCCTGGCAGGGGGCTGGGGCTGGGGCAAACAGCTCCCTGGCTGAGTGGGAAGTCAGGCTCAGCTGGTCCTATAAAGGACAGGGCAGCCAGAAGCCCAGACAGTTCTCTCTCTGCTTTAGAGAGAGAAGGGCCTGGCTGCCTGGAGTTGAGAGGTACCTGAGGAAAGCAGGGCTGGAGGAAGGCTAATGGAGCTGGGGAGCTCTGGCCTGGGAACCCTCCAGGCTGTGGGCCTAGAGTAAGGCCAGCTAGGTACTGGGGTTGCAAAGGGACAGCCCTGGGTAGGCAGAGGCAGCAGGTCCAAACCCAAACTTGCCTGTGATGAGTGGCTGATACTGCAGTCTGCCCCTGGGCGTGGGGCTAGATGGCAACTGGCAGTAGCCTTATTCTGAGGTGAGGTGTGGTTAGTGGGGGGGTTCCCCTGGGAGGGGAGACCCAGTGAGTGTGGGTACTGCCAGGGGGCAGCACCCAGAGCAAGGGGCACCGGGGTCCTGGGAGGGACACG